GTGACGCTGAAAACTCCGATTCAGGACCCGCAGCGCTCGGCTCTGTTCTGGCACTTCAATAACGGGAAGGAGATCGTAACTGTCGCCTCGGCGAGCTCCTCCACGCTCAGACTGAACACGTCCTACGAGGGCAGAGCGTGGATTAATGCAGCCAACGGCCACCTGACCCTGGGCGCGCTGACGCCGCAGGACAGCGGGGAATATATCATCACCATCGTATACAAACACGGTCAGAGCGACGCCGCAAAGATACGCCTCACGGTCTCAGGTGAGTCGTTACTGGATCCCAAATCACTTTTATTCAAACCAAACTTTATGTGTCAGCCTGAAAACGTTGTGCAGTCATCATCACAGTTTGATTGTGGATTTAACAGGAAGCCGGCACGGAGGACATCCACGCTCTTCACCCGTCACACGTGGACCCTCAGTCCTCAGCACGTACGGCCAAACCGTGTCAGGGCCAGGTGTGGCGGTCCCGGCTGCAACAATGACATGTAATGATTGGTATAAACAGGCCTGAATACTGGACACTCTTCTTTCTGCTGAAAGGGGAAGTGACTCCATCACACGGATGCTCTGAAATAGTCTTTGTGTTATTTTAGGAGTGTTTGTGTTTTCTCAGCATCATTTTTCGGGAACTTTCAGCTTCACTGACACAGATTTCCTCTTTTATTGAGAGTTTACTTCCTTAGAAAAAGGGAAGTGATGCACTCAGAGACTCCTGTGAGTGAGTCACTGAGACGTCTGTCGCCCCCTGCTGTTCACAGCTGGAACAGGATGAGTTTTCTGTCTCACCTCTCCATCGGCATTTCTCTGTTCACAGCTCCACCCACCGGCACCACCCCCACGCCAGCTCTCCCTGAGCAGATCCCAGGTACTCACCTGTCCGGCAGCTTTATTAATATCCTGTCAGTGCAACAAAACGTTGTGTTTATGACCCTGAAACACACACGTCAGTGTCGTCTTCTGTGTCCAGATTACTTTGTGTCTCTGGTTGTGTGTGTGGTTGTGATCGTCGTGCTGTCGGCTGGCTTCCTGCTGCTCCTCTACAGATGGATGGAGAACAGGAAAAACAGGAAATCAGATGGAAGACAGGTGGAGGTAACTCCATCAGTGTTTCTGTCAGTGTTTAACCTTGCATGACAGATTAGTGCCACTAGAGGGCAGTAAACACCAGCTGCAAACATACATGTAACTGGATGTGTTAAATATTTTCAGTTACCTGCAGCCCAGCAGAAGAGCAGAGCTCCAGGATCCACGTGTGAAGACTCCACCTATGAGACCATGACTCCAGTCCCCACAGACCAGGAGCACATCTACTCCACCCTCACCGACATGCAGTACATGTCACATGTGCGATTCAGTCCGACGGACACAATTTCCTGCAAATCGGTAACATCCCAGTAAAATCCTGAAATCCATCACAAACTCATCCACAGATACGTTTGTGATGTTTATAACTGTAAACATCAGTTATAATATTTATCATTTTCAAGCTTTTTTATTTGTGTATGTTTGTTATTACTTCAGTTTATAAGCCCCGCCTCTCTGAGCTGTGGGTGTAAATGAAGGCTAACCCCTGTTGCTGCCGTCCCTACAGACGCTGTAATTCACAACATGTTACATGATTGTCACTAATCTAATAACTTTTGCTACAATGTGATTAAAGAGGCCACTTTGACCAGCTTCAGCATTAAAAGGCTGTTTGGACGGGTAAATAAGATTACACTAAATAA